ATTGTTAATATATTGTATTAACAATATCAAATCACTCATTTGTAAAAATTTGTTGTGTGATCATAAAACAATAATTCTATTGGGGTTTCAACTTAGGTTTTGTTTGCATACCAAGATAAACATTTTTAATTTGAATCTTTGAACTTGAGAAAAGTAAAACTATCACAAATGGTCAGTTCAAGTGCTTGAAATTACTTGATTCAAAGATGTAGTATGCTTAATTATAAAGTCAATTTTTTTCAATCTTCAAATATCTGTACTAGCAACAATGGTTTTACTAAAAACAAAATTTGCAACTACATATTCTAAAAATTTAGTAAATAATGTTCGAATATTAGAATGAAAAAAAGTTTGATACTTAATTTAGCTAACAAAACATTCTTGCTATCCTATCGAGTTGTAAAGTAAATTGAATAAAGTTTTTTGCACATGTGATACTTACCAAGTTTGAGAAGCTTATTCTTGAATATTCATCATCAAGCTTGATACACTTTAATCAGTACTCCACCTTCATCCAAAACAAATACTTATGATAAGAGAATTGTTAAGAAAATTCTTCATTGACCGTACATTTTTTTGGGTACTCCTTCAGAATGTTTTTTCCTAAACCTTCTAAACTTAAAAGTAGCATTCTTGTTGATTTTTTTCTATAAAAATGATCAATGAAATCAAATAAAATCACCTTTTTGTTATAGGGATGAAAGTTTGTTTGATTTTAGAAAATTGCATGTGAGTATTAATTTATTTTTTTTATAAATCAACCTTTGAAATTGATTCATATTTGAGTTCTCTTAGCTCATGAAGTTGCTTAAAAAATGATAATAATTTTTTTTGTCTTCATACTCCAAACTATAGTAGTTATATTTCTTTCAAACTCTTGAAGCTGTTCATCAAATGAAGATTCTTTCGTTAGTTCTCATCCTTAATTCAACACTTTATTGGATTTTTCTACTCCAAGATCTTAAAGCTCTGTACTCACAACGAGGATTCTCCTTGTCATTGTTGTTGTCAAACTCCACATTATAAAAGCTTTTTCTACTAAAAAATCTTGCAAGATGAATCTCCTTATTTGTATTTTTTTGGTCAATTCTCAAACCTCTTGAAGATTAAATAGTATAATACAAACTAATATTTTTTTATTCCATTTGTAGTTATTTCCGAAAATTGATTTGAATTGGACACTTGACTCAAATAGATGTAAAATGCAATTTAATATCAAGAAGTTCACTCGTCTTGTCCAATCAGTATGTGCAATCAATCAATATGCTTCAAGATTGTTTGAAAAGAGAAGTATTCAAAGTAGTATATGTGCACTAACTCAATGAGATTAAGCGTTTTGGGTTCAAGATTTGTAAAAGCAGTTTGACGCTTATGAAATATATTTTATAAATTATTTGTACAAATATTTATTTTTGGTAAAAGCTTTTGATAGGATTAAACCTACATTGACAAGCAAGATGTTGAGGGATTCTCCACAGAGCCCTCTTGAACAAAAAACATTTGAAAGTGCCTCTCTAAGATTTGTAATACACGTAATTCTCAATGAAAACTGTCTCAATTCAAAATTTTCAACCAATTGTTCTCCATGTACATGATGAAAAGTATAAGTAAAGTGGACATAGAGAATAAGTAGTTTACCTTAGTGAATCTAAGTCCAAAGTAGACAAATATCTTTTACTGAAATCCAAAAATTTATGTCATAGATAGCCTCTAGCCATTTTCCTTGTATAAGATAGGTTAATTTTTCACAAAGATTAATTTAAGCATAACTAGTTAAGTAAGTTTTAACAAAATGTCGAGTTAGGTCATAATCGATATCACACCATTAATACTTGTAAAATATGAATATGTACATGTTATATATGAAGAATGAGGGAGTCTTCCTTATCCCGGGTTCCATTTATCCAAAAGGGCCGTAAGGATCCCGCTGTACGCACAAGGTAGAAGATAGTACATCACAATACTTTCCATGAGCCCTATATGCAATGTTCCGGATGCGGGGTTCGCAAAACTGCCCAGCTTGTCCATTTCGACACTTCAGATAATGCGATTGGAGCCTCTCATTGTCTTTCACCGTAAACATCATATGGAGCCTTCGGAGGTTAAACAATCAGGCTATAAGCCAGGACGTTATGGTCACGCCCTTGCTCGAGATACTGACCTCCCCACTCCTTAGGGGTCTTCATCCCCTTTCTACTCAGCTTCACACCCTTGCATGCCCATCCAAAGGCATATGGGTACTCTGTTACTCCGTTATAGGGGGGAAATGACTTTCACCTTCAAGGAGAACTCAGTTCGATCACTCTGTCATCCCAGTGCGAATGTACCCTGAGTACAGAGCACATGTGTGACTTATCGTCGCAAGTGATGTTTGGACATAAAATTAAATCCTCGTAAATGAGCAAAACCTGATATTGTGGGCGAGTGGTTCCACTACTGTACTGATTAGAAACATACCAAATTATTCGCTTCCACTGCTGCATATGTTGAAGAAGCTCGTACATAAACACTTTCTGGATACAGATTAGAATGGTGAATTAAAGATTAGAAATGGTGCCTTTTTCTGTTTTCCTGGTTCCTGCATATACAGCAGGGGCTAGTTAGTAGGCGTGACGAAAGTAGTCTGATTTTAGCGGAGATTTTGTTATTTAAGGAAAAATTGCTATTTCAAAACATCGTTTCTCCAGTCAGTTTGTTGAGGAATGTAGCCGCCTATGGTGTTTTCCCATGCCTTTCCCACTCACTTTGAAGGCGCTTGCTTCATCTAACATTTGGACTTTCGTTTCAAAGTTCGTGCTGCAGATAAGCTGACGATGTATGCCACTAGTTTAACATTCCAAGTTATCCACACAGGAGAAGTAGTAGTTCATGTATCCACTCATGATGCCCTGGTATCTCAAGATGAGTTTCTTGTTGATCCAAATAGATGCATAATCTATCGGGTTTGGGTTTCCATGGGTACATGAAACTTTCCATCTTTGAGAGCAAGCAGGTGGAGCATAAAGGTGACATCTCTCGTACGTTTTACTACCACGAGTTTCCTGTGATATCTGAAGGATTCTGCCCTCAGATAAGATCTTTGATATGGGTTCCGAGGAATAGAGCTAGTTGACGGCTTATATGAGTTATCTTTGTGTTGTCCCAAATTAATTACAGGTGAAATGTTCTTGGACCCTAAACCCCCCTCTCAGTAGCAATTTTGTAAGATATAGGTGGATCATGAAGTACTTTTCTCTAAATAGTTTATATTCGAAAAGTAGAGCGATGGAGTTAACCTCGGAGGCCCTGAAGTTTGGTGCTTCAGGGTTAGGGTCCTTGGGGACTAACCGCAATTAGTCTATATACGGTCACATCTTCGCAGTTGAAAGTTGAAAGAGTGCTTTCGGTTGTTGCCCGTTTCCACAGCCGGCAGGAGGGCCGAGGAGCTGGCGTGGGGTCCCTTGTCTTTCTCAACAGCCGTCGCAGATTGGACCCTTACTGCAAATTCCCCGTTGCACTCCCTCTCCAGACTTTACACATGTATAGTGAAGGTAAAGTAATAGAATGTCCCCCTTTCCGGGAACGGAGGTTTCAGGCAACCACATTTTTCCTTTCAATGAGTCATTCGTTGTTCCGTAGGTTCTCAACTTCCATGCCCCTCTTATACGGTAGCTGTCCCTAGGACATTCCATTCTTTCGACGAACCCTTAAACCATGAGGCGGTGGCTTAGAGAAGGTCGCAATGCCCGATGGCGATGTAATGGGTCTGGGACCAATCACAACCACGTGTTTTTGTTAGGCCAAGCTGCCTGAGCCGGACCACTCCAGAGTAACTACTAAGAGCCATAAAGGTACAGCTAGTAAAACATCATAACACTTATCGGTTTCACGCATGCTGCGATACCCCGAGCTTCACTATCAAGGATAGTGGGATGCTTTAAATTAGACATCATGAAACGGCGATAGGCCGATTAATGATACTACAGAGTATTGCTACTTAACATGCGCAAATTGAAAATCCGATTCACTTCAGAGATTAACACTCCTATACACATACTGAGTTCGTTAACGTAACTCATAATAACAAAGTCTTTCCACAACTGACAAATAAAACATGTTCTTGGACAATCATAGAAACAAAATCTAAATTTCAAAACAAAGGTAACCCTTCAAGATACCTTTCATATTTAGTTCATTTTTCTATGTCTCTACGGAGGCTCTGCGCGTTCTACTACTTCTCCATTCCTAATAAATACTAATCGTAGAACAAGAAGGGTAACAGTGAGTTGAGGTACAAAGTATTATATATTTGAGAGTGGCTAGTTATCATTCATTTAGGGCTAATTAACATTACTATAAATTATAAGTTAATCTCTGATTGGTAGAACATCTTATTTTGGAAGTAGTTGCTACTTATACACAAACCTATAACTTTGCATGGACCAATCAGATAACTGCATATAGTAGAGTGAAGTCTAATTACCAATAAATGAACAATAATTTCCATATTTACTTTTAGTTATATCTAATGAATGAATTTTTATTTCTTTTGGATTTATTATTCAATCTGTAACATATCACTTGATGTAAATATATACAGTTTTCAAAAATTATTTCAGTATTTTATTTATCAATAATAAAGATTAAATTTATTATTACTCTAACTAATAAGTAATTATGTGTATTTTTATTTTGAAAGATAAAGAGAAAAGTAGTATTTTAATTTCTACACGGTGCCGTTCATCAAAATGTGCTACAAGCCGTCTCGCAGGTAAAGAATAAAATGTTGAGGTTTATTCACACACAAAAGAACAAAAGATGTTCTGGAACATTGAATTTATACCAAGATGAAGAAGTACACTCGGGCACTTTTAAAAGTTCGATTTGTCAAGAATTTTACTAAGCGATATTGAGTGATTCGTGTAATTTATCTTGCTGAATTTTAACTTTCATCCAACACTTTCATGGGCAAGCATGGTCTTCATGACAGAAAAAACTTCTGACAGCGATGGGGTTGAGGAGTGATCTGACTCCTCATGCGTTCATTCCTTCACGTTCTTTGCTGCCACATCTACATCAGCGTGCACGAATGCAGAATTCCAAGCATGTAGCTCAAGGAGTTAGAGTCGAGGAAGAAAGGAACCTGGAGAGGAGTCGGACGAGAGGAACCTGGCACAGGGATTTTGAGGTTCCACTTGCGCACTTCTGTGACACTCTTTACGTCGCTCTCTTTATTTCTCGATTCTCATTATTTAGATGCTTCGGCCGGCAATTTCGCTGTTGGTTCCACGACTCTCACTTTTTCAATTCACTTTTCCTTCCTGAGAGTGTGCACCTCTACAATCGGGTGTCTTGTCTGCGCTGGGTTTGACACTTACACGGGTCTGATTCACTTCACGTCAAATTCCACCTTCGTGGTTTTCTGATATCTCTGTTCTTTATTCGCAGTGTGCCTTGTACACTTGTGCGTCAGATCCTTCCATTTTTCTACCTTTTGTCGCTCAAGGCTTTTCCTTGTAAATTTCTTTTGCTCAACAGCCTTGAAACAATCTGGTTTTCCACCAATTTCGAAAATTCTCCACCCCGTTTATCGTCGCACCGTGTTGGCTTCAGTGTGCAGCACCAATGATTCCAGTCATCGTACTCACCCGAGCTGATATATCTGGCAGCTGGTGGTTTCGCTCACTCGTCTCGATGTCTGTTATTATTATGCGTTCTCTCCCATTCTGCTTTCGTCCACTCAACTGAAAGACCATCCAGTCGTCCACACGGTCTTTTTTAATCAGACTGAACTTCTTCAAACCTCTCTAGAGAGAGGTGCAATCATGCAAGAAGTGCCTTACCGTAATCGACCTCCTAGTGAGTACCACCGGTACTTATGTCAATTTTCGGAGATGAAGCTGAAAGCTATGCAGGATGCATTCCTGGCTGGCCACGACCTTCTGCCCTTTTTAGAAGGAAAGTCTTTTTCTTACACGCATCCAACACCGGCCAATTACGAGGAATTCTACAATTCTACAGTGCCTCTTACCACTGCAGTTTCCTGGAGCTTGGCAGCGCCAGAAGCCCTGCACTTTGGAAAGGTGAAAAATACAATCAGAACTTCGACGGAGAATAGCACTGTATCGGAGTCGTGGGAATCTGCCAGAAGGCCACCTCCAGGACCACTCGATAGTGTAATTCAAGGAGAATTCTGCTCTTTGTCTGGATGGATGAAGGACTGGAAGGGAAGTTCCCAGCATCTGCGGGCAATTAAGATGGCTATCTCTGGTTCCCAAGAGGAGCTGGGCCGTGACAAGTTTGGGGTGAGAATCATTGGCCACGCAGATTTTGGCCTCAAGCGCGTAGGTGAGAGCTTCTTCCTCATGTTGCGCGAATCTAGATTTAGCTACAAAATGAACTCAGTGAAGTTTACATCTGGATCTGTGATACTGGGGGATGTAAGCAGATTTGGATTATTCTGGGCAACGCGTGAACCAAGGGCACTGTATTCGCATGACACTGTACAGATTTCATGGAACCCTGCGCATGACTGTGCGCTGGAAATTTTAACTTCTCGGAAGTGGGAGGGTCTTTGCCAATTTTTCTTCCCTCTTTCTTGTTGGTCCCTCTTAGAAATTCGCTCAGCCACATTTATATACTATCGATTAGACATCTTCCATCTTATTTTCGGGAAATTTGGACGACGTCAGATCCTACTCCGCACTGTCTTCAGAAATATAGCTGCTCGTGCAACTAAACGTTGCTACAATTTGCGAGATATGAAAGGAATTTTGGTGCCGACGTACACTCTTTATGCTCTTGACGTAATAGTCGTGACTCGGAGCAAGTAATTTTGTCTCGCAAGTTCATAAGCATGAACTTGAGATAGTAAGAATTTGCGAGGCGTTGATCTAAAAGGACTAGTTGGCAGCAGTTCATGCATTTGATGCTGGGAATATGTGATGGTATGCAGAAGTCGAAGACATTAGGTGGTTCTCTCCCTCTCTATTTCTCCGAAACGTGCCTCAATGTCTCCTGGGAGAGAGCTTTCTTAATTCAAACACGTTCTCTATGGGTGTGCAGGTTGGCCGATCACTGACACACCTGCAATTCCTTATGATAGACCCGTTCCCCTATACTATCGAAGCTTAGCTGTATTGAATGATACTGCCGAACCAGTGGTGCTCCTGGACGTCTGCGGTGTTCCGTCGAATGAAGAAACGTTCTCTCTAAAAGATGATTTTGCCTTGGCCCATCACTACGATGTTTCTGAAGCGCAACATCATCGCTCTTCCGAGACTTCTTTTGGCGTGGTTCTTCAGTCTGGGGCAGAGTATCAAGTTATGGTGGTAAGTTACAAATGAAGCTACAAACTCGTCATAATAGTGATTCGAGAAACCTATAAGATGCAACGGTGGAACTGCGCTAAGGATTTTCTACTGACTGACAGACAGATTTGCCATCAGTTTACTACATCTGTCAGTCAGCTAGAAATCCTTACCTCAAGCGCAGTTCCACTTATTTGACAGATATCTGATAGCAGTCAGTGACGTACCTCATGACTCTAATTCCATCTTTTCAAATGCACTAATAGTGATCATATACCCAACTAATTTGACTCCTCTGTAATCATGGGTATGTAAATTCTACCTCCAAAGTGCTTTCTTTTTGTGCCTCTGTACTCAATAGTTTAAAATACGGACTATTCTCACATCTATTTCTAACATGCACATTTGTTTATCTACCAGGAGCTGAGATGCAGCCCTCAGGATATTGCTTGGCACCAGCAATGGATTCTGTTTCTGTTCGGAAGAGGAGGTTCTTTGCAGCACACGCATAACGAGGTCTTTGCTATCGGGCGACGTGTCTCTGCACTGGTAGGACACAATATACAGGACGTGCGGAGCTGTTTGAGGTCGGGTTACCTTCTTCTGTGGCCAACTTGTCTTATACTGCCTCAGGTTAGGAGTTTTAAGGTCATCTTGATTTTGAGGTGCGTAGGAATGGCATGTATATAGAAGTGCAACACTGTGGTTAGTTATATTAATGGTGGTAGTCAAGTGACTCATCATGTCTCGTTGTAAGCAAAATAACCTCAAGGACTGGGAGAATGAGTGCACAATCCGTTGTTAGTGTCTTGTACGTCTCCTTAGTTATCTCGTCTTTCTCAGTCAATGGCAGTGTATAGCTAGCTACCTGTGGAGATCTTTAATATGCGTCTGCTGTGTTTTTGTAAGATGGTTCTAGCACAGAGGCAAAGCCATTCTATCCAGCTTATCTTCGGCAGCTATTTGATACTCGGCCAACTGAACTTAAAGGTCACTCATATTTGAAGTCTTCGGATTGGAGAAAGCGATTGGATGCTTTTGAGCAAACACATGTCTCCTCTGTCTGGCCACTGCAACTAGCAAAACTGGAGGAAGCTTTGTACTATGGAGTCCTTACAAGTGGACTTTTATCAAACACGTCAATAGACTTGAGACCATGTGCATGTACAGTTGTCCAACTTCGGCAGGTAAAGTTCAGCCGGGTCGTGTGTCGGATTTTCTTGTTACAATGGTAATGAACGTCTGAGCTGCTCAACTGAAATGATCTTGTTGATTGGACAATCTCCGAGTCCTCATCTTCTTTTGAGTGTCCTTTAAACCCTGGTCATCTTTCTTTCAACTTTTATGTCATGTCATGCTTCGCTGTCACTTGCAGTTTTCGCGATTGCTAGCTCTGGAAGAGGCAGCCATGGAACGTGACATTAAAGAACACGATCTTTTCAATGTACAGCTAAGCCGCCGTGATGCTTCAGTTTTTATATTGGAGGTACAAGTTTTGCCCGAGTGAAGCATCCACCAATCTACAGTTGTGTTGTATGATGGATTGACAAGACTATGAAGATACTGCAATGGCTAGGTTTATTGCCTCTGTGATTGCTTGGGTGTGTTGATCTCAGTAAATAGAACAATAGTATTGCAGAAGGGAGGAGATAAACTGCGTAAGTTGCACTTCTGCGAGAATTCAATTATATCAGTCTTCCTGTATTTAAAGTCGTCTTCCTTCCGATGTTAGTTGAAGCCAATATATTTAATATTATGCTACTATCTTGTACTGGAATATGTTGACAAGAGCGTGCAATTAAAAAATACTGCCAATTGCTGACTTACTCCTTATGCTACTAGGTCCCTGGTCTACCTGAAAATCGCCCTTCTGTTTTTGCCGGAGATATTGTTTACATTCGCTGGGAAAGGTATCCAGGTATGGAATGTGCAGCAGATGTTGTCGCTGTAGAATTTCAGCCAAAGCCCCAACTGACTCTCAAGCTGCCAGAGTACTTTCTCAAGTGGTGTCCTTTGCTACCAAAGCCACTGCTCGTCCATGTTCGCTTCACATTCAACCGTTTGGTTCTCACTGTAAGTATAAAAGTTATTAAGAAGGGAAGGAATGGTGCTGGAACAGTTCCTTATATACTTTATCTGTTACTTATGGTTTTTACAAGCGCGTATATGTGTTTTTCATCCGTCGTCTGATTTAATGCGGTGCTTCTGATTTAAACACTGTTTGGGCAGCGCATGCACCGTGCTCTTCAAAAGGTGGCCATTTTATCCATGAAGTTGCTGCCTTGCATCTGCAGTAAGGTCTCGACGACAAAGGTGAAGGATGCGAGTATATCGGACAGTCCCCAAGCTGTTGAGTCTAGCGACATTATCACAAGGTGCACTTAAGGATTGTGGGTGTATTTTGTTCTCGCCAGTTCTGTTTTCTGGGGTTCTAGTTTCAATGGTTTATCTTCATGTTGCGTAGGTTACATATGTACGCTGGTCCAGGAGGATTTCGTCAATATATGTGTTAACTGCAAAGGAAACAGGAAAGTGTTAAATGCTAGCCTCTGGGTTAAATAAAAAAGTTGGGATGCAGCTCTTATTGCCAGCGCTACCTTCTTGGAGCCAACCACCACACTCCCCTACGATCCAGTCGTTTGCATTTCGTATTTATCCATCCAATCATGTGATTTATTCTAGTAATAACTCTGTATATTATGATATCTCATCATTTGGAAGAGCTGTGTCCTCCAGTTTGGACATCGGTTTGTTGTAGTTTACAGTCAAGCTATGGAGAAGTAACTATTTTCATCGGAGCTAGCAGACGATAGAAGACACGCTTGTGAGAAACTTCAGTCTGGATTGCGCAGAGTATCCTTATCATGTTCTTTTCTTTATGATTCTCTAATGCTATTGGTTTGGTTCTCAATGGTGCCTATCAGAGTGGAGATACCAAAGCCTCTATTAAAGGTAGGGGCCTGAGGTCATACCAGTCACCATCTTGTCCTTGGAGTGTATTGGTAGGGTCTTACAGCCCGTTTGACACTGTAAGTGGGCTGGAAGATTAACAGATCATTTTGCATTGTGTGAACTCCGACTTGGAATAACTTTTCTTCATTATTGATGATGTAAGCAGGCATGTGGTATTGTGGAGCATCGTGGAGCTATGAAATCTCTTAACCAAGAACAGTGGAAAGCTGTGACATCTGTTGTTGATCGCGTGCACGGAGCTGGACCTTATATTATCTTGGGACCACCAGGCACCGGGAAGACAGTAACCGTAGGGTTTTTAAACTACACCATACGAGATAATTTTCACTTTTCGTTTCAAATCTCATATGTTAGTATTCGAGGACTAATGCATTCTACATGTAAGTTTTAAGTTTTTACATCACTGCTGAATTCAAATTTTGTAACCCTTCGAGAATTCCATGCGGGTATCTGTTATGACCATTTAGAACCTTGCAGGTCGTGGAGTGCGTCTTGCAAGTGCTAGCTACCGATCCTTCAGCTAGATTGTGCGTTTGCGCCCCGTCAAACTATGCTGCGGATATCTTATGCAGGTAAATGCCTGACAGCAGACTGTTTATGAGCAGTAGAAGAGAGATCGTTGTTGAGAGGGGCTTTACTTCTTTGCGATGCGCTGCGTCTCCGCATACAGGCACTCAAATTCTAGGCTAGCGTACTAATTAGAGCACAAGCTGAGCAATTTTAGGTCCTTGATGCAGATCGCAATATAATTAGTGCTATGGTATTAGTTAGGAGAGAGTTCTCTTAGGAGAACAATAATTGTAGCAAGACATCTAACCCTGACATGCTACTTCAAGTGGGATTGCTGCAGGAGGTGTCGATCGTTCAATGATGTGGAGAATGAACGATCCACGACGAATCATAGCTTCTGTCAAAGTGGATGTGTCACCGTAAGTAGTTTACAGTTTCTGTCTGATTCTTCACATATCTTTAAGATATGGATGCTTTCAAAATTAGTTCGACAAATTCCTTCTCAATGCATAGAAATGGTTTTGTCTTTGTGTTGAGAAGGCCTTTGTGAATTGTTGCCAAGATTATGTAAAGGTTAAAGCATTGAAGGGGATCTGCTTCAAGCTTTAAGTGCAAGGTTTTGGAAAAGGTTACGACTTAAGAAGTCCTGTTACATCTGCCATGCGAACCTACGAAGACTTAAACAAGGAGGGTGGAACTTGGATCTAAGCAGCTTAAGAGTTTTATGTTCAGTAGGGACTTCATGTCCTCATTTTAGCTCAATTTGCAGTTAGTCGTTCTCAATAAGGGTAAGAGCATGGAGTAAACCTCAGTGGCTTGCTCCATGCTATGATACTGAGGAACTTCAGTTTCGTTGCCAATACTAAAAAGTACACCTTCGCTCATTTTGCCGCTATATTCGTCTTTATGTCTAAGCCTTTCTACATTCGTTGCTCCCCAACTGGGACCTGTGAGTAACAGAGCAGGGATTAGGCTCATCACAATTTGACATCTCCTTGTTCACGATGTACCTTGAACCCGCGATCTTCAAGCAAGATCAACAGGGTTTTCCATGCCTAGGCACAAGGCTGAAGTCCAAGTACCGGATGCTCTTAACCACAAAAAAAGCAAGATGGAGAACCACCCCGCTCCTTGCACACTTTGTTGCATAAAGAGGGCAAAACCATTGTCCATATTCTGGTTACATGGGGCACCTTTGACAGAGTAAGAGCGATATTGTTCCACAAGCTCTTTCACCTTATTTTAAACAACAAGAACGCGATCATATAGCTTGTGGAGGATGACTGCTCAAGGCCCTGGAGCTTACTCTCCCTACAGTTTTGTAAACTAGATGAACTGACTTTCAAAATCGTTTTTCCAGCTCCCCATCTCTTAGCTTTCTCTCTGTTGATTATCAGTATCGTTGGACATTCCTATAGAGTATCAATAATTTAAGCGTAATACATCTAGCGTACAACTGCCATCGCTTGATGTTATTTAAAACAAATGAGTAGAAAGTACTGACGGGAAATAAAATGCGCAGGTTCTGTGCCTACCAGCTCAAATCCGAGTTGGATGACATGAAATCTTTCAGAGTAATAGTTTGCACTTGTGGGGCTGCGGGGATGCTTCACGAGCCACCCTACTTGGGTAAAGTGGAACCATTTTCACATGTTTTTGTCGATGAGGCGGGGCAGGTAGGCTATATATGGTTCGCAAGTTCATTTTGTCGGTTAGAGCTGAGAAGTTCATGTGCTCACTCCTCGTGTTTGTTGAGAAGTTTTTGGATCCTCTTCACAATGGTGACGAGGTTCATTTGATGCATGGATCCAAGAATTAGACTTGTAAAAGAGAATTTATGTCAACCTTGATTTTTGCTTCTCATCGAACTGTAGGCCCTTCTACCGGAAGCATTGATACCATTGTCGCTTGCACACTCAAATGCATGCCGCGTTCTTTGTGGCGATCCAAAGCAGCTTGGTCCTGTGGTAAAATTTCTTCCTCCAGATATGTTTCTTACATACGGAAATGTAGCCTCCAAGGTGTTACTCAGATCTTCATGGTCCTAAGGAATTATCAAGGGCATTTATGCAACTCAGCCTTCAGCTGGGAGTGTATCTTGTGCTGGTTGCATCAAAGACGCGCTCGTTTGGGTGATCCTTCTGAATTGATGCAATTTAAGTGTATGTATGTTTCTCTAACAATCTGCATCCTGTTTCATCCCTTGATTGTGTTTCACCAATTCAGACTTTCAGAGTTGGTAGCATAAAGAATAGAATGTGTCACGAAACAGTAAGCTTCTATGCGTTATGCTTACACCACCATAGTTAGAAGCTCAGTTCGCCTGATGATATGAACATACCAGGTACATTCGAGATTAGCTACAGGGAAGGGGCTTGATGATTCTTTGATCTCCCGGTTCGAGAAGTCCGAAGAGTACCACTCCAACATAGGAGGTGTCGGATCACCTGTAATCAAACTTGTGCGCAATTACAGAGCTAACGCAAAGGTTTCAGTCTACCCCCTTGATGTTTACAGTGTTATTTAAGAGTATATTCATTAAAACCAGCTACTCGAGTAATCAAGAAATTCTTGACGAGGAGAACTGGCACTTATTCCCAAGTACTTCGATACTGTGATGGAGGCTGACTAAGTCACGCTGTCTCCTTATTATACCATCCTAGCTATGTGTAAGTTGTTCTGATAATCTTCATCGGATACACACCTTCCGTTTCCATACATACCCTGTCATTTAACGGGGTGCTTATTTCTGATGCCTCTACCTCTGTTCCCTATGAATGTTTCTCGGCTCTATATTGGTTCGGCTATGTCAGGGGTATCAAGCCTGTGGCCCTTGCAGTACTTTCTCACCATAAAATGAGTAGAGGTATACACCTTACTTTGTGGTGCATTTTCCATGTCTGGATGATGTGGGTCGATCTATATATTACGCAATATATCTCAGAAAGAGTTGCCTCCGCTGATATTGTGGAAGAGAGAATATTGTGAGGAGGGTTTCTGACTCTACCTTGGCTCACATGCTGTGTGTGTAACTGGATTGATGATGTCCTCTTGTTTTCTTAGGCTGATTTGTAACATTCTCCCTTATATAATAGATCATGCACGCTTACTTATCTGTCTCGACAGTTTCAGATTTGCTTGATGCCAGCGCATCAGCTCAATGCGTTTTAACCTCACTGGCTCATCTTTGAGTGCTATCGGTTATACCTTTTACCTCCCAATATCTGCATTCCGCTTCACCGGATCTTGGATACTTTCACACTGTACAGCTCAATGTCCTTTCTGCGTCGCAATTATGATCGTGATGATGAAGTTTTTGTTAGTTTCTAGATATGGTTGATGGTTTATCCACATATCTGCAGTTATGACTTGCTCGTATCGTTCGTTTAAGTACCGTCAGCACGCGGACTATAGTAAGCCCAGAAGATAGTCCTGTCGTTCCGTCAGCTTTATATTTACATTGAGTGGTGAGGATTGATTTGTCGCCTGCGTACTTGTTAACTATATCCAACCAGTATTATATTCGTTTGGATCTAATAGGTTGATGGTCGATAGCTAATGCTTGCGTTCGCTTCGGTTAGGTTCGGTTCTTGATAACGTCTGATTTGGTTGTTCAGTTATTGGAGCTGCCATCGCGAATGTTTTACAACAACGAACTCATAGCCGCAGCTCAGGTGATGCATCAAATTTTTTTTAAGATCTCCCTTATTTCTAGCTTTTCCTCGGTATTTGCTAACACCAAGTGGAAAGGAGGTCATGATGAAGATAATAGTAAGCAATCAAGTCCGAATTGTGTCTGGCAGAGTCACATGGTTACTCCACCTAAGGATTGGGAAGAGTTGAAGGGCCGTGACTTTCCCATGCTCTTCTACGGTGTCAAAGGTCAGCAGATGCGTGAAGGTGAATCACCATCCTATTTCAACCCAGGTACTTATCCGGACATATGCCGAGGTTATCCTTCTCCAATTTAAAAAGAAGTTGGATTTTTGACGTTGATAAGTTTTCTCCGATTATTATATTTCCTGCAAGATGCGTGGTTATTTGCCAGTCCTTCAGCACAAGCCGCAGTCAATGGCTACAAGAGATGAACGTTTTTACATCTCCTAAAAGGTCTGACAATGGCCTCACAATGCAGAAGCGAAAATGCCCACGTTAGAATTGGTTCATTTGTGCAGTGGAAGCCCGAAAAGTGGTAGACTTGGTCAGTGGTCTTATTTCGAAGACACACATTTCCGCTGGCGACATAGGCGTTATGGCCCCTTATCGACGGCAGGTAAGACGTGAGGTTTGGGATGTCTGCTTAGAGGGAGAAGAGAGACTTCACTGTGATTGTAGTCTACAGAGCTGATGCCCTGACTTCACACCCTTCATGAACCAGGTGTACAAACTTAGGTTGATCTTGCGATCGAGGGCGCTAGGAGCTGTGAGAGTGGGAACTGTTGATGATTACCAGGTATGAAAATTTCTCGGGTACTTCGAAGCATTGAGTAAGTATCGGCATATTTTGTTGGTCTCGTGTACAGACTTTTGAAGATTTATGGATACTGCTTAGTCTGTTGACTTGCAAGTGAAACAGGTGAAAGTCTAGGCTCACATCATGTCGCTTAGCTACGGGTTTTGCTAATGCAGGGTCAAGAGGAGAAGATCGTGTTCATATCCACAGTTTTAACAAGACCTGAATCTCTATGTAAAGTACAAGCAGATGTGAAGGATAACCAGATTGGATTTTTGGGAAATGCCAAACGTTTCAATGTGGCCATCACACGAGCCAAGGTAGGTCCAAGTGCTTGATGTAGGTTTTAAGCTTTTTCTGGTAGCCCCTGCGTCGATTGAAACTGAGATGAACTGCTTTCTCTGATCGAAGGAGGGTCTGAAATGCTCAAGAGCAGCTGGGAAAATAAAGATGATTGCCAGATCACATGCAATCGTAGCTAAAACGGGAAATAGACATTTGAAGTTGTAAATCTGATGCGGCATGTTCAAGGCATGCAGTTTCTGAAAATTTTGTCTGTTGTTTTGGTGGTAAAATAACCAGGCAATGCTGGTGGTGGTTGGCCATCCTCTTGTCCTCGCTCAGGATGAAAACTGGAGTGAGCTGCTGCGGTATTGCTTAGTTCGTGATGCTTTTCGTGGGTTCGGAAGTCAATACGTCCCTCCATTCAGGGCCCGCGAGTCTGCTTGGCATGCAGAAATGGAAGACTCGTCAGTACCTAATGAACACAATACAGACCATATAAACACTTCCGAAGCACTGGAGATAGCTAAAGCTATAGAGAAAATGGCAGAGCTATCGTTACTGGGTATGGGACATGTTGACACGCTTTATCCAGAAGATCTGGATTCCATGTACTCTGCTTTCAGTGAAGAAATGGAATGGCGTGTTCAGCTGTAAAACTGTAGATATGATTAATCAAAAGGTAGGTATGACGTCAGTGCAAATCATATAATTATCTTGTAAAGTCGATGGTGGAATTGCTGTCTTAAGGTGTCTCTGACTACGTTTCCAAGCATAACGTCTTCAGTAAAAAAGTTTCTTGGCTCTTATTGTTTTGTTGACGTGTCAGATTTTCGAACACAATTCCTGCACAATCAATAAGTAAGCAGAAAAGTAGTTGCGGTTTCCTAACAATGTAGAAATGTAGTGGGCTGTTGACTGTACTTCGAAGCATGGTCGGTGTTGTCACGGGTAAAGTTTGGTCACGTGTTGTTACTTGTCCCATGTAGACTAGTAGTTCCATGTAATGTCGCTAATGATATTTTATATTGAAGGGGGATCTGCGGAGTGTACTGTGGTCGGTTTTACACGGAGACATTATTATAAAAGCTTATGTGGAGATAGATCAAAGTGCCGAAAGTGGGACTGAATGTGAGCTATCTTCACTTTGAGTTACATAGTCATTTTTCTGGAGTGAGGATACATGTGTAATGTTTGGTGTAGTGGGAAACTGTTTTTCATTTTTAGCATGTTGCCACGTCCAGCAGGTTGTGATATTTTCCAATGTTTTATTCTGTTTACGTGCTCATCGTGATGCAGATATAGCTAATCAAAACCTCAATGTTCGGTTTTAAGTGTCAATTTTAAGTGGAGGATGATGTATTTACTTTTACTTTTTACTCTCATATTTGCTACCCCTATACAGGTTTCACGTTGGGGGAATAGAGTGATTAAAACGGGCAGTGACATAGCTTTTAGACCTGCATATTCCGCGATCAGAGAGGAAACCAATCGTAGATTGGAGGTTGCCCTAGAAAAAGCCCATGGCATTTATTTCTGGCGTATCCAAGTTTCAAGGTCCGCCTTCCTCTTGTCTACACGTTTTCGATTCGATGATTTAATTTTCAATTCGTTCACCGCAAGCGGAAGTCAAGATCGTGTTTTCTAAAATGGGCTAAACCTGGGCGTTTTTCAAGGGCTCTAGCCTAGTGACGGAGAACCAACTATTCTTGCAAAATACATTGCTTTAGAATTAGAAAGTTCTCTATGAGAAAGGGGTATTCTTATGGGTTTACCTTGGTTCGTGTTCATACAGTTGTGTTGGTTTCAACAGAAGAAACGTATATAGTGCAGAGAGAATTCGTTCATAATTCACAGCAAACTCTTCCACATAAAGAGTTCAACGACAGAGTACTGGAATCCAGTACTGAGCAATCAAACTTCTCTAATGATGAATCCTTCGGGATGAAGGGTGAAGATACGCTCTTTCCTATACGACGGTCGTAAACCTTTCGAGTTTGTAAAGTTCTCCCACATACAACCTACCACCGGCATGCGTAAGTCTGGAGCTAATGCACAATCACTGGTAAAATTGGACATCACAAGCGTTAACAGGGGCGCTAATCAAACTTGCTCATACTTTTGGCCGTGCGAAATGCCAGTATAAGTTTTTATTTCAAATTTTTTCGAACCCGAAGCATCAAACAAATGATCACCCTGAGATAGGGCCAACGCAACATTCTCGTTTCGGAGATTTCACTTCATCAGGCGTGACGATTGGAGATCTACTTAACTTGCACTAAAATCTCAGACCTTTCCTACAGATACGCAAACACGCAAACAAGAAAAACCATCTAGGGATGGACCATTCTTTTGCACTCTCAAGCTTACCAATCAAGCACACCAGCCTGTGCGAAGAATCAATCCGCCAGCCAAAGAGCCTGTGCATGCACAAAACACAGCAAAAGAAGTCTGGCACGCTCCCTACGCAGGAATTATCCTGTTCAGGTGCGAAGGGACTCTCTCAGCCTGTTCTTGTGAGAAGCTCTAGCAAAGAAAGCTAGGGCCACCACAGAACAAGCACCCCTGGTGCCGAGGCTCATTAGCCACATTCAAATGCTTTAACACCCCTCACCAAAACAAGCGATGCATGCCTGCGGACATAAACTCCTTCAACTGACTTCACGTTTCAACTCTCTGACGCATTTCGAGGTGACGCAGATGCTCATATGTAACTTCCTTTCAAACTAATCCACTACTAAGTACTTAAAAATACATTATTAATAATCATAACCACACAGACATCCCGTCCCCAAGTGATTAACCTGGACATTATATTGTGATATGAAACATAAGCGCAAGACATACATAAAACAAACCATGTCTGTCTTCCCGGACTAGGTCGACTTGATCTACACACGGCCTCGGCTCTTCCCTACATGATCTACCCACTACCAGTAATTTCCTTGAAAGTTTACAGTGACCACAACTCAAAACTGCAAGGTTATGATGCAGGAGCAAGTACATTTACCTGACCAACTGATTCTACATTTGCAGTTAGGATGGCTACAAGATTCAGCATCTACATTTTGTACACATCGACGACCCATTTCGTTCTCAGGTTCAGAGCTTGCGGGTAGACTCCTCCACAGTAGGAGCTCAAATGCAGCCCTCCTCGCTTTCAGGTACACCTAACAGCACAGTCCAAAGAGGTCCGATACAGTCAATGACAACAGCAGGAATTAGCTTTCGACTGCAACACAGATTGCCCCGCAGTAAAGGAGGTGCACACTATAACGACGAACTCCCCCATGTCCAGCGGGTCATATCCAGCCCAACGGCTCAACGTCATGAACGCTAGGCTCACATATTCCAGAAAGTTAGTCAATGAAAAAGAAACTGATCACGGCGCAGAGGCCACTCCGAATCCAGGTAAAGACTGCAGTCGCGACGACGGCGGCTGCGCCGACGCGGCGATCGAGTCTCCGAATCTACAATCATTTCCGACGACACGGGCCCGAGTTGAAAGCACAGTCAGCGAATGGGGAGATGCACGAGTCCAGTTCTTACCTGAGTCCAAGACTTTCGCTGGTGCCGTCGTCCTAGGAGCTCGTGCCAACTTTGCCGTTGGCTCCGGCAATGTAACTTTCGGGAACGTAGATTTCTCCTCCCGTCTCGCCCCACTGTTCACCGCTGATAGTCTTCTTCACATTCATAAATTCAGCACTCATCATCTCCATGCCCTGCTTGATGGCTTCGTCGGCGTCTCCATATCCATGTTCTTCGGCGTACTTTCGGACATCCTCCGTTATGCTCATGGAGCAGAACTTCGGACCGCACATGGAACAGAAGTGAGCCACCTTGGCCCCCTCGGCCGGCAGCGTTTCGTCGTGGAAAGACTGCGCTGTGACGGGGTCCAGGGACAGTGCAAACTGATCCCTCCATCGGAACTCGAACCGCGCCTTGCTCAACGCGTCGTCCCACTCCTGAGCATGGGGATGCTGCTTCGCGAGATCAGCGGCATGCGCGGCAATTTTGTAGGCGATCACGCCGGCTTTGACGTCATCACGGTTTGGCAGTCCCAGATGCTCTTTGGGGGTGACATAGCACAGCAGGGCTGTGCCCAGGGCTCCGATGTTTGCAGCTCCGATTGCTGACGTGATGTGATCGTATCCCGGAGCGATGTCGATGGTCAAAGGACCCAGCGTGTAGAACGGAGCCTCGTTACACCAATCCAACTGCTTCTCCATATTCTCTGGAATTTTGTGCAGGGGAATGTGGCCGGGTCCTTCGTTCATCACTTGCACGTCCTTCTCCCATGCACGACGGGTCAGCACACCCTGAGTGGCGAGCTCCGAGAATTGGGCAGCGTCATTGGCGTCATAGATAGATCCAGGCCTCAAACCGTCTCCGATTGAGAGGGATATGTCGTACTTGTTGCAGATGTCGAGAATGTCATCCCAGTGTTCGTAAGCAAAGTTCTCCTTGTGATGAGCGAGACACCATTTGGCGTGAATGGAACCGCCACGAGAAACGATGCCCGTCATCCGCTTGGCCGTAAGAGGGATGAACCGAAGCAGAACACCAGCATGGATGGTGAAGTAATCGACACCTTGCTCCGCCTGCTCGATCAACGTCTCCCTGAACACTTCCCAGGTCAAATTCTCGGCAATACCGTCAACTTTTTCCAGAGCTTGGTAAATCGGCACAGTACCAACAGGGACAGGAGAATTGCGCATGATCCACTCTCGAGTCTCGTGAATGTGACGACCCGTGGAAAGATCCATGATCGTGTCGGCGCCCCACATGGTCGACCACTGGAGCTTCTGGACCTCCTCTTCGATTGAGCTTGTTACAGCAGAGTTCCCGATGTTGGCATTCACCTTCACGAGGAACTTTCTCCCGACGATCATAGGCTCCAGCTCAAGATGGCGTTTGTTTGATGGAATTATGGCCCTTCCACGCGCAACTTCGGAGCGCACGAACTCTGGCTCGAGGTTCTCACGGACAGCGCAGTACAGCATCTCCTCGGTGATGATTCCCTGCTTGGCGTAGTACATTTGAGTGCACCTCTCGTCCCCACGCGCTTCTCGCTTCTCAATCCACGACTTTCTGAGGTGAGGAAGGCCTACACGACACCAGCAAACAAGGAAAACAAGCCGGTTTGTTAACAAGGCTCACCGTGGTTTCAATCACCAAGGCTCTGCTCGGCACGAGCTAAAACGACTACATCTCGGACCGTTTGCTCGAGGACTGTGGAAATCAGATGAAGGACAGCGCGCTGGTCTCAAGGACACTGCTAAAGAGGCAAAGCGAAGCGACGTGAATTACCAGCACGAGCATTCAAATTCTGAGGTCCACTCGTGAGGTAAAGGTCGCATGGCGGCTCTCCTCCAGACAGGTGAACCCGACGGAAAGGAACCTGCAGGACCGTGTTGGTGGGTTCGTGTACAACTTCCCTGATGCGCCAGATAACGCCAGAATTAGGAGCAGGAACAATCATTTCTGAAATCCTTCAAGACCAGTAGAGAATAGAACGAAGGCTCCAAGACACAAAATCATTCTCGCCGAACGATTCGCATTCGCAAGCACAAGTTGTCAAGCCCCTGAGAGGTATGAACGCAAAACAACTCAGAAAGAACACTCACTTGAACTCCCGGGTGCTGTTGGGGAAGCATTCTTCAAAAGGAGGAATGGGGAGAAAATCAGGGGATGCGGGGTCCTTCGTCGGACGCGTGCGTTGGGACAGCTTATCCGAGTCGACAGTCAAGGTCATGTTCACTCGGCTGCTCGAATTGCGAGTGGCAGTGCGTGGAGCATTTCTGCGCTTCTGTAGACTCAACTTCGTGGGTCCGGTGAGAGCCCGGAGGCTTTCAAAGCCCGGAACGCATGCATTTTTCTGCCCAGAGGAGAGCAGCGAGGCTCGATCCAGCAGCGCGACGGTCGCCATTGAGAGAAATGATCACTGAGGGCCGATGAACTTGGTGGCGACGCTCGCGAATGCCTCGTCTCAACAAAGTAGTGTCTTCGGCAGCAGGGCGAAGAATCGCACACTTCTCACTCTATCAAAACTCGAAACTCAGCCCGGGAGCGCTTTTTAAGTGTCATAATGTCAAGAGCTCCTGTCGCTCGAGGGGTCCATTCGTCCGGAACGTCCGTCAGCGGCCCACCCACTCCACTTCTACGGATTCAGACTCTGCATGCAGCACGGAATCAGAATAAAAAAATTGGGCTGGGACTTGACGAGCTGCAGGGAAAAGTAATATGCATGCCAAAGATAAGATTCGTGATGCAAGAGCCGGTTCGTGACTAGGGCTATGCAGCTAAATTCAGACAATTTTCAAGTTCGGTCAACAAGTAAAACAAACCACGAAGCTTCGGGTGGGGACTGCGCGGGGATGCTGGGGGCCATCCTGTTATAGAATTTCCAGTTCACTGCACATGACTGCCTGGGTTTCCTTTGGCCGCAGTCGCGACTGGAGAGCGGAAGAGTCGTAAATTTCTACCTTGGCTTCGTCATAGGTTTTCTTCTGAACCTCCATCGATCTTTTGAACAGCGAATTGCAATGAACAGAAATAATCACTCGTAACACATCAATCCCCTGCGAACCAAGGGAAGGCTTGTGCCCGGGACTCTGAAACTCGGGACACCCTCCGAAGCTCGAGTCTTGGGTCAACCAGCGCATTTTATGTTCACGTCTAGCCTTGTTTGAACGAAATTCGTTCAAACTTTGTTTCTTCCAAGGGCAAAATATATATTTCAAATTCAAAATTCAAAACAAGGGATTCACTTGTGACTTGAAAGTTGTACTAAGTGCTATTGAGACTAGCATTTGAATATTTAGCTTCGAGCGAAAGTGCAAGTTGATTATAAAAAACAACAAGTATATATTGTTAAACTTGAATTTCAACATGAGGTCATTTTTTTCCTGGATTTTTTCCGACATCAGAAGGTGATAGCATTATCTTATAAGATTAAAAGAAGATCCGCATTGAAGCCAACACTGATATGGACATGTCCGGATTATGTGCCTCAATAGGAGCTCTTAAGCAGTTTGAAGTATTTTTTTAAAAACTTCACCCCTTCATTTGAATAAAGGACGAAGTTTTACAACCAATGGAGAGAAGAAAAAGATCTAAATATATCTACTTCTGTGTGATATATATATAACTAACACCATCATTATCAAATGAAAGGATAAATGCATCTGGAATGTTCGCGGATAGGTCCAGAAAACAGTCAGAAATGTTGGTTCCTGCAAGGGTCAATTCAATGTTTTCTGAACTGGCTGACTTTTTTTATATTTAAATCACACACCGGTTTCATTTGTCCTTCATGAACAATACATATACAAGTAATAAAATGGGGCAAGTCATACTCAACTAACAGCAAATTCTGACAAGACCGATAAATTTGACGAACCATGACCATGAAATGTGGAAGAAAATAACATGTGACGTAAGCCCAAGTTACACGTTTAGGTTAATCCCTATACTGCTGATTGGGGTCTTCCCATCCTTACCTCGCGCAAACTTCATAGCTTGATAGCAAACGAAATCATAAGCACTTGAAATGACAAAGATCCATATAATATTTTAAACGATGAGAATTACAAACTACTGCTTAGATGAGAGCAAAAGAGAAAACAATCTTACATTATACAACGAGAAACCTGATTCAGTGGGATATCTCCATGGCTAGATACATTCCAAAGCTTTCACCTAGCCTGACCTTGGCTAGATTTTATATCCATATACATCCTCAATAGGAAGCAACTCACTCGAAGAGTAGAAGCATGACCAAAGCTATTCGCTGCCAGCTCAACGAAAATAGATGTTGATGATGCATTGGAGTACATTAATATTGTTTAGGTCATTAGTATTTATCACATCACAGTTTACTCCGGAGTTCTTGACTATGACCATTTTATCATTGACGCTGTGATAGGCTTCCAATCTTCCTCTCATTGCTTATCATGTTATACTAAAAATGTTCTTCAACGACCTAAGCTTGTTTTCTTGTTTTTTTAGTTGTTGGAAAAAGCAGTTGTGTTGATCTACATGTGATATTTCAAACTGATTGAAAATTAAACCAATCTAAATTTGAAAGAGATAATCAACTACAAGCGATCAAAATAGGAGGGTGTGATAACAGATAATCCTAAAGGATTGAATCTTTTAGTTGGATCATGAAACTCCTCAAATTACATAGGCATGTAATAAACAAGACAAGATTCAGTTTTTCTGGACATGCTATTGGTGCCAAGATAATTATCACAAATTGACTAAAATATAGTAAAGTTAGTTTAAGCGATGCTATCGATCAAACACAACTATCTCCTATAACATCAACACAACTTTTAGAGAATGAATATAATATATCCGATATGTGAAGGTAAAAAAATACCTAAGTGTTTCAGATAAACCACAACGCACATTGATTCCAGTCCACATGTAAACATATGGATTTTTCCTGATATGATATTTTTCCTTATGTATCTTTCCCTCTTTCTGTTTGTCACAAGCGTTCAATTTTTTTCTCGTTGAGCGTCATCATTCCTCCATGAGTGAAGTGTCATGTTGCTCAGATCTCGTAGTAACGCTTGTACTCATTGAGTTGATCGAAATACCATGAGAAATAGAGTTGATGTTGGGGCAGAAGGAGAAGCTTAGAAGAGACAGACATCGTATCTTACCACCGGGGCTTCTCGTCGTTCCGTCAAAGTTTTCATGGGGTTCTCTGTCGTTTCGTCTTACTTCAAACGCTTCTTCTCTGCAGGAGATGGGGGCGCGTCGAATGTGGGTGAAAAGCTTTCGGGATCGGTCGGTGTCCGCGTACCAATCCACATGACAAGAACCGAAGCCAAGCCAGCGAGGCTCGGCAATGAGGTACGTGCCCTGAGCAAGGGAATTTTGTCCTCGGAGGGCCAGCCTCGACACCCAATTGGAAAGAGTTGCAGAAAGCGACGTCACAGTTTATGTTTTCTATCCAGAACAGTACAAGTGTTTGTGGGCAGGCCTACAGTAGCAGCTGTAGCTCTCATAAAAATATCTTTCTCCTACCGTTTCCATTTGTGGACGTCCTATTGTAACGTTTTGTCAGTTTGTCAGTCTTTTGTGGGCCCACTTCTGGAGGCATGAAACTTGTAAGCACGATAAGATCGCGATCGTTGTGGCGTCCCTTGCTCACAATACGGTACATTCTCAAGACTGGTGTATAAGTTCTTGTGTACATGTCAAATTCGCTTGCTGCCTCCCCTGTAGCTTCATGCAGACCATGCAGTCACGATATACGTTGAACCGGTTAACTGTATCCTTCACTGATTAAATACTCGTACATGAGATCATATTTGCCGCTTTGTGTCGCAATCGCAACTGAGAACTCGGGAGGGGCCGGGGCTATCATCAACAAACGTTGCTGATGTTTTTTTTAAAACATCAGCAACGTTGATGGGCTCTGCGAGGTTTTGCACACCTTTCTTCGGTTTTCTCTTTAAGCATGGAAAAGCCCGGGACCCTTGGGGTCAGGTTGGGTATCAATAAAACTTGCGCCGTGAGTGTATCCACATGACACCCAACTTCTTTTCACATGTAACGGGCGCCTTTATTCTGCCTGGCTTTGTAACGCGTTCTTCCCCTTTAATTGAGGGTACCAAAAAGTAAGTTTTCCATGTTATATTTTAAACATAAAAGGATCTTTTTATTCCACTAGCTTTCACACTCACTTTTGGGAGTTTTGAAAGTACTTTCTGTCGAAAGATATCCCAAAAGTTCGGGTTACTTGGTCTGACTTCTTGCATGGCAAGTGAAATGAAGCCACCAGATTTGGCAGGGGACAAAACCCTCCAAAGATGTATGTTCTAGGTGTTTACCATCTAGCAACGATTTCTCACGGTTCCAAAAGCTTTCAAGGATTTTGTAAATTTATTATTTTACAACTTGGCAACTTCATCGGACTCTCTGATGTAGGGCCGCCACCTTTTCAACCGACAACATGCGAAAAAGGGCACGAGATCGGAAGTATCATCAGGAATAGCTCCAGTGTGTCCTGCATCCAACTTCTGGTGGAGGATCCGAGTCATCTGACGAGGAACTATAGAAGGTCACGGTGTAAAGGTGCTCCTGCAGATATGTTGACAAATCTGTAGACTGAAAGTTGTTGAACTTAGATTTACATCAGACAACCCCGCGAAGTACGAGGGAACAACTAGAGTGAACGTTACAGTAGGGGGTGGAGTTAGGGTCAAGCAGAGAGGAAACGATCAGGCAGCACATTTTAGTTTCAGAAAGTGATGATGTTCTCAGTGCGAAATCAAAAATATATGGTAAGGATAAAAGAGCAGGGGGAATATATTATCTTTAATGTACATGGAGATTTCGCAATTTCTCCTCATGAAAGTAATCTATGAACAGATACATCTGGTTAGGAGGTCTCAACTGGAAGAGATCTGATCAAAAGAATCCGACCACTGTGCAGCAACCAATTTCGGTGCAGGCAGGCCTAAAATTTAACAAGAGTTATAAAAAAGTCAGTGTGTAAGGTCCTCAAGTCTGGCTTCCATGAATCAGGACTGGATTCAGTTTCCAGGCTACTTACCTCTTCCACAGGATACGAATAAGCCTTGCTACCATAATCCATGTGTTTGAAAACCGATCATTCCATGTTATCACAAAATTTAGAAATGTACAGTCTCATTCCTCCAACGAAGATACCAGGTAATCCGCCGTGAGTTTCTGCTGACTCCATACTAATCATTCCGTCTGAGTCGACAAATTTATACTCACGGAAAAATAAATTGAATTACCAATTACTTTTAGAGACCAACGCAAAAACCTCGATATATCATCAGTTCTCGGATTTAGAGCTATGAAGGAGAATGGGATCGAGAATGCATGAACATGCACGAATATTGTCGTTCCCTTTCAAGAAGAATTTAGTCTTCATACTTCTTACTACTTTCAGGAGATTACGAATATGGTACAGTGTTCTCTTATGTTCGATTGCAATATACTTCTTAATCGCCTCTTGTACACGTCGCCGCTTCTAGGAAACCATTCACAACCTTGAGCAGCCAAAGCTGCAGAAACGGACGCGTTGATCGCTTCGTCCCTTCTCGGGCAAGAATTAAAGGTAGTACAATACATATGCAGAAGTCGTCCTTCGAAGTTTAGATTTCACTGCGCTGTGAGATGCCTCTCGGCTCATGCTAAATTTAGAGAGGTGCATAGAGATATTCACGTCCGCAAGTTTACACATTCTCCCGACGTACAAGCTTAGATAGCTTGGAGCTAATCTTAGTTGATGGCGTAGGTTGCAAAAAGAAGATGAAAGGGATGCAGTGAGTCACGCCCGGGGTCTGGATCTGTCAGATCTGACAGCATTGTGAAACTTTTGGGAAGTTGGACTGGCAACGTTGTCCCCAAGGGTGGAGTCAGTCAGATATTTCTCTACAGGCCCCTCCTGTTGTTGGACTGATCTCTGGTGAGGCGAAGGATCCGTATCTTCCTTTTCAGCTGCTCAAAGACAATGAGAATCATTTGATTCGTGGGTCCACATTGCTGCCCAATACGAATGCAGATCCACAAAATCTTTGCAACCACTCTCTTTCTTGGAGCAGCACTTAATTTCGGTAGATCCGGGCGTCCGACATCAGTTTTCCGACATCAGTTTGTTCGGGAATGGACCTAACTCTCTGAGAGAGACAACGGTTGAAAAAGGGGAACAATTTCGGTGCGAGTTGAGGTCAAACTGACATGTTGATGAGTGATCGTGGTAGATACATGTCTACTGTTGTGAAATATTAGCTTACAGTAAAATGTGCAATGATAATGGGAAAAGCGCAAATATCTTAGAGCGCTTTCGCGTCCTGCCACTGTTGTCAGCAGTGGCCAGCAAAGTTGTATTTCCGATGAGGTATCAAAAGTTTCACCGCGTAGAACGTTGACATATTCTGCGAGATACAGCCGAAGGCGAACTTCTCAAGTGAAAACAAAACGAATAGAACAATCGAGTTCGAGTTTAGAGAAACTTGGATGCGAACATTACAGTTTCTAATAAAGGCGGACGGTTTACTGTACTGTACGTTATCAACACTGACAGCGGTGTTTGGATCTATGGTTTTGAGGATAAGAAGTGAGGAGTGAGAAATGTTTGTGTACTGTGTACATGGGACAGCACAGCTCAAATGCCAACCTCTGATTCATCCAGCAACTGACATGCACTATAGATAGGATACAAGTTGGTTTCTCTGTAGCTCGATTTCTTTCAGACGAACCAGCATACCTCTCAATTTCCTGGTTGGATAAATCGACATGGAGGACAAGCATCCTTAGCGCAGGACTGCTCACGGGGACGATCGGATGGAGTGTTTTAATTCCTCGCTGGCTGCTGATGAACCTCACACATCCTCGGTTGATTTCGGGCTAGCCTGTATCATCGATTTGTCGACAGTTTTCCGGGCGTCCGACATCAGTTTGTTCGGGAATGGACCTAAGTCTTTGAGAGAGACAACTGAAAACAGGGAACAATTTCGGTTGGACAGATGATCGAACTGACATATTCATAGCCCTGGTTAAACTTTTGGTTTCGTCCCTGAATGACTTGAGCGATCTTCCCATCCTTTTTTGATACTCTTGTTCGTGCCCTTAATCATTTTGAACATCTTGATAGGGAAGAAGTATGTGCCCCAGATGTTTGCGATTTCTTGGACCCTTGATATTCAAAGATGGAACAAATTTTTAAATATATAATCATATGTATTAGTACAAAAATAAAATAATGCATCAACTTCATACCAAATCAGTTAGGTTAAGTAAAAGATATTTTGAAATATTTGACTGCATATATGGCTGATCTCAATATAAAATAGTTCATCAAAATGTATTGGACTTATTGTAAAAATTCTTTTGATGCAGATACAATTGAACATATATGATAAAAAAAGTCAAAATTACTCAGATAGATTTTAAGACATTATGATTATTTGCAACAAACAATAGAAGCAATAAAAGTCACAAATGTTCGCTGAATGAACTTTCCACGATTTAACTCCATGACATAATAAACATAGTCATCAGATGCCTTTCCATCTTCAGACCGTTAAGACTACAATGATGGAAGCCCGTATGTATGCGGATGGAATAGAATAATACTGTTGATAAACTAAACATTTAAATATCTGAAAAACCTCTAATCTTCTGTATTCAACTGTAATCTTTTCATTAAATAAATCCTGCTAATTATACTCTTTTCAGTCATAACATAATTTCATCAGCTATGAATTATTATCTAAACATAATGCAAGGATATTCTAAGATTTTATTGGAATTCATTATTGATCTGTCAGTTCACGATAGATGGCATCACTAAGACTCGATGTATAAGAATACATAGATTTCAGATATTTATTTTAATAATTGAATTTACATATGCATTTGAATACTGATATTTACCGGGTAAAATTAGAAAATAGATCAGAAAAAAAAAACGATATAGATTAAAGCATTTTCAATCTTTAAATTCTAAGATTGTAATTTTAGAGTTGGGAAATTAAAATATAAAATTGAAATTTTTTTCTTTAAAAAAATGTGAGATAAAACAGATTTCTTTCCATTTCGATTATTTTTTGAAACCTCATCTGCAGTTTGAATTTATCTTGCTATTGTACATGTCTTGTGAACAACTTTCAATAATTTCTTTCATATTGTGATGCACTCATGTTAGTTTATTCGCGTAATTTTGAGGTATGATTACGATTCTTTTTTGATTTGTTATCACTTTTTTCTTCCCACTTTTTTCTTCCTTTTCTTTTTTCTTCACTGTAAGCGTCAAGTTGAAACTTTTTGTTTTAAGGCCATTGGAACATTGTATTTCTGATTGTGAGATGCATTTCATGTGAATGGATGTTGCATGGGAGACTATACAAGTTGATAACTACAAACTTGAAATCACATTTGCAATTTTCCCTCATTACTTGATACCTTGTATATAGCTGTATACACTAGGACAAGTGTATCATAAACAACTAGGAATGTTTGTAAGTCGTGTTAATCAGAAAGGCTGGGCAGACTGTATACATTGCTACAATGCCTTCAAAAGGTTCAGCGCTTACATAGGTGAGTTGCGCCAACTTATGAATTAAACTCAATGCTGAAGTTGTAAAGAGTATATGTTTTCACAAAGAACATCAAAACCATACATGTACAAGCTAGGTTTGATATCTTTATTCAATCATCTCTATGAACATTTATAGATAGAATAATTATGGTCCGCATTTGTGTACCTCCGCTGGTAAACAAGTGTAACTTCAGAAGTGCAAAAAGGCTCAAATGAAAAGAGGAAGTCCTCGTAGCTTGTAAACCCCACACTTCGAAAGCAGTTTGCACTGTGAAGAGAAGGAGGTCCCACTGTAGAATAATTAAGTTCAGAAGATGCACGTGCTCATGTAAGAATGTTTGTTTGGCCTCTGTCGTACTATTTTCTGTGGCCTTTTGCCTTTTGCATTAAATTGGTCATCGAGATGGGAATCTAAGTCGAAATTCTCAGCAGCTTGTCCGAAAAAGAACATACTATGGAACAATATCAGTTTCGTGTCCCACACGGTACCCAAGCTGTAATGAGTAACCCAATTTTTTCAACAAGTCCGATGGAGTTCAAATTAGCTCTGCATGGATGCACGTTTATGTCTTTGTCAGCCGTTAAAGAGGTCACGCTTCCCTTCGCACTTCCGAGACGTCAGTTACTAGGTCTACCGTACGTCCTGTAGTTTCCTGGACGTAGACATCAACACAGATACGATGCTCCAAACTTGTCGATCCACTTGGCCCCCGTCAGTGACCATTCGCGAATCTTCAGATTAGAGTAAGACAAACTAATACTCTCGCACGTGGAAAATAAAGTAAGCGAACTGTGCAACGCTTTCTGAAGGGACGTTCATTGGAATTCGCTTCTTGCAACAGAACAGTATTTGCCCTTTCCCGGCTCGTCCTTTCTCCATGACGTCCTCGAGCCCTTATGTGCGGTCTCTATGATAGAAAGGTATCTTTGGCTCGGCCCTTCTGCTAGGCTCGGCTCCGATATTTTATCAAAATCAGATCATGGTAACTTTAGAATTTACGCTGGCAGGCCCACGCCGACGGGAAGGGTGAATTTACGATCTGAGGTTGTCTCTGCGAATGACGGGACCCTGTGGCATATATAAGGCTCTCGGGGATTCCTATCACAGCATCTCCGAGCAATACCTTCTATTGTTCTTTGCATCAGCCCTCCTCTTCTCATTATCTACTTCGAGCGTTTCAAGCTTGCAATCATGGCCGCCTGCGCCGCACAGTCGATTGCGCTAGTCGGCGCCTTCGCCAACACTGAGAGCAGCAAGCTCTCATCTTGCGCTTCATCTGTCAATGGAGTGCGAATTGCCGCTGCTCCCAGACCCGCTGTGGTCTCCCACGCAAGTTCTGCACCTCGTGCCAATTTGTACTCCGATGCCAAGTACGACTTGAACAACTACAAGTTTGCCCCCATCAAGGAGTCCATCGTTGCTCGTGAGATGACTCGACGATACATGACTGACATGATCACACACGCCGACACCGATGTCGTCGTGGTCGGAGCTGGTTCCGCAGGTCTCTGCTGTGCTTACGAGCTCAGCAAGAACCCCAACGTGAAGGTGGCCATCGTTGAGCAATCTGTGAGCCCAGGAGGAGGTGCTTGGCTCGGAGGTCAACTCTTCTCCGCTATGGTCGTGAGGAAGCCTGCACACAGGTTTTTGGACGAGCTCGAAGTCGCCTACGACGAGATGGAAGACTACGTTGTCATTAAGCACGCTGCCTTGTTCACATCTACCGTGATGAGCAAGCTCCTTGCCAGACCCAATGTAAAGCTGTTCAACGCTGTCGCTGCCGAAGATTTGATCATCAAGAACGGCCGTGTGGGTGGCGTTGTTACCAACTGGGCTCTTGTCGCTCAGAACCACAACACGCAGAGCTGCATGGACCCCAATGTCATGGAGGCCAAGGTTGTCGTCTCTTCATGCGGACACGACGGTCCATTCGGAGCAACTGGAGTGAAGAGACTGAGGTCCGTCGGCATGATCGAGAGCGTTCCCGGAATGAAGTGTCTTGACATGAACGCCGCGGAAGACGCGATCGTCCGTCACACTCGTGAGGTCGTACCTGGGATGATCGTCACCGGTATGGAAGTGGCAGAGATTGATGGATCACCGAGGATGGTAAGACATCATTCCAATATACGCTTGAATAAATTATTGTTGTACGCTTAGTCTCTGCATTGTCAATCTAACGCCGTCCGACTTGTGTCCTCAGGGTCCCACTTTCGGAGCCATGATGGTGTCTGGACAGAAGGCGGCTCACCTTGCCCTCAAGGCTCTTGGCCTTCCAAATGAGATTGACGGAAACTACCTGTCGGGTGTTCACCCAGAGCTTGTCTTGGCATCAGCTGATGATGAGACATCCGCTGCTGCTTAAACGTATGTTCTAGCTGTAATTTAGTGTTTTCTGCTCCGGTACATAGCGATGTTCTATAAAAGTGTACAACTTTGACAGTAAAATTTCATGTATTTCGTGTACTCGAGTCTATTCCGAAACTGGATTTGTGTCTAATTTATATCGCACCAGGGGTGCTTGCTTCAAAAGAGCAGGCTGAGAAGAAACCCTTATCACCTGATCAGGTTAATACCTGCGAAGGGAGTGTGCTTTTACCGTGTTTTGCAGGGTGGTACCGTGCGAACAGCGAGGCTTTACCCGCAGCGCGGAGTGGTAATAATTCTTCACTCAAAACTCTGTATGATAATTGTGTCTATGGCATTGTTTTTCCTTTTTGGTTGACCGCAGATATTTTTGTGAATTAATATGCCTTATGTATGACGCAACACCCGCTATTTCACGAAGCATGGTATGGGAGCTTTTGAGGCTTTTTTCACGAGTCATGCATATTGGAGCATCTTGAGATCTGGCCTTTTCGCGACGAAAGAGTAGGGAGACATTTGTTCTCGCCAGTGATGTCTAGTGAATGTGTAGAAAACTCTTAGGTTTACCATCTACGACATTATATGCTTCAGAGCTTTATCTCTGAGTACAAATATGTGCAAAGGCTGTATATCTTTTTGAGAAATAAAGAAAATTGAGTCGAATTTGAGTTGTATTTTGGACATTGTCATAATCTCCAATATCATGAATTGAAATTCCGTATGTTGTAGAAAGTACAGAACGGAAATGGCGAACAGTATAGTAAAATTGTGGAGAGTAGACGAAGATGTAAGATATATAGTTCGCGTAATTGGGTAGATTATTGATAGTGATTACAACACACTAACTATGATATGAATTTTTGATTATGCAAGACATATTCTTTTGAATAATTCACTATTCACTAACACATAAACTTCAAACTGTAATTTTTCTTACATACAAGTATACAATCTTTAATTCTTTATGCATATTCGTGAAGTAAATTCAAAATGTAAACATTAATTTCTATATTATTGTACAAATTCAAAGATATATTAATATCATTAAAAAAAATTAAGTTTGGACAATACAAATATGTACTAATATTAACTCATACTATTTTTAATCTACAAATGTATACAACAAGTGGAAAAGATAATAAAAATGAAAAATACTCAATTCAAATTCGATTTAATTTAAAATGCAGTATGATTGATAAAAATAACTGTAAAACTACTGACATTATTGTCTACACAATTTACATTTTGAAACAAATATTATAATATATAATGAGCAGAACGAAAATATCCAAACAAAACATATACAATGCAAAGAAGACTATTATTTAATAATTACCCTACAATTTTTAAACCAGAATCAATTAATTGCTGTTTGATTGTAACCACAATCAGATAAAAAATAATATAAATTGCAAATATCTTTTGGTAAGTTGAACATATAATACATACATAAATCTTACAAGCATCATAATAAAAACTAGATAAATCTACTCAGACTAAAGTTTTTTAATCGTATGACAATCAAAACATTTTTTTGGCTTGATAACATCAATAAACACTCCAAATTCTTATTAGGTGTACTTACCAGATCTTAACACCTAAAATCTATCCACTATAATGAAGATTTTATACTTTACAACTGATGACTATTGATATAACTTTCAAAGTTGTACCCAATGAAATGTATCATAAATATTAAAATAATAATATTTTTTTTAAAGTGTTGAAAAGTTTCAAACTCATAACTCTGCTTAAGCAAGTAGTAAGCAACTTTGGAGCAGAAGCTCAAACCCTTATTGGCAATCTGGAACCATGATCAGAGCAATAGAAATCCTCTCTGCACCGATTACAATTGGCGCTTGCAGCTGCGTCGCTGGTCACATTGGGACTGGCTTGTTTGAACTTGGAACTATCTTCGATAACAGTCTCTCAGAAGTATGTTGACCAGTTTTGCATGTACAAAATAAAAAATGATATTATCTGGAATTTCTAAGAAGAAACCTGGGTTAGGCCGGCAGGATGGTTGTCCCCAAATACTTGGTCTCCGAGGGTTCAAGGGCTACCTTCCGTTCCTCGGGTTGTGCGATGAACCGCTTTAAGTAATTCTGTTTTGTATTCATACAAGGCAAGAGTAGCTTTGGCCTCGGCAGCTCTTTAAACCGAATTTGTGAATGCGTTGCTTGCAACAACTTCCTTCTTTCCCTCCATCGTGGAATAAAAACCTCAAAGAAAAAGTGGATCTCCTAAACAAGCTACAACGCAACTCGCGGAATACAGGTTATAACGATAAATAATAAAACACTGTAGTGATCGCGCCTTGAAACACTCCCCCTTTAACTGACACTCTACATGATGTTCACATTACCGAACTTTATCTTGTTCCTTGCATCCCCCTTCGGAATTACATCCCCAGTCTAGTCCAACCGGCTGATCGCTTTTTTTCTCTGGTGAATGCCACTCGATCGTGCAACAAATGTCCGAATCTTGCACAAAGGACTCACAAGGCAAAGGCATTCCGACTTATGAGCTTCGGCTTCACAGCTCGTCAATATGATGGGCATCTTGTCACCTACAGGACCTCCCCTTGCTCCCCTCCGTTGCAGATGGTACTAACTTCCCCACGCATGACCTGCCAATTCTCGTCTCCACAACAACAATCTCTCCACGAGGGCGGACAAACAAACAACTATCACATTCGATACATCCTCTTGCGTCCGCAGATCAGCTCTTGCTTTCGCTATTGTCATTGCTGTTGCTCTGATCTCTAAACATCATTCAAACAAATTGCATAGTGAAATCAGTACCTCCACACACTTTCTCCGTTTTTCCTCGTCTACAAAGCTCAATCCCGTAGCAGCGAATGGAGAAGCGGACGGACTAGTGGCTGAGATGCCCTAGTGAAAACACAAACACGTCATGCATATACGAATTCCAACGCTCCGATATCAAATTTTACATGTTTTTCACGAGAATACACCAGCAGAAGCCCAAACACACACACGACGGCGACACAAAAAAATTTGGTTCGCCATTGCTAGGCTTTAATGAATGTAAAGCTAAAAAAATTTGAGGAGAGCTTGGGACAATTTTTTTTGTTAATGATGAACCCTAAACCTAACCTTAAGTAAGGTTAAGCTACCTGAGTTTAGTTCACACCTAAGTTTATATTAACACTTATTTAGTTTACCATCACAAAACCACAATACTGCCTTCTTGAAAACCTAAATGATATGAGTGTTTTCATGATATATTTGTGTATATCTTTGGCATGTTAAAATAGTTAAAAATCTTCTAATGTATAGATGAATATGAAAAGTTAGTTTATGATATATTTTTGACTTTGGCTGAATAAACATCAAAGTAAAAGTAAATAGACATATACACGTCAATTTCAACTACGATATATAGAAAGCTATAAAAAGGATTTTTCATTATGTAAAGATACTTTGGATTTTGATGTGTTTAATTTTTTTCTAGTACATTTATATAGCTAATCTATATTAATGTTAACTATTAGCAAGCTTTAGATTGAAAAAAAATGCAACTAGATATATGTTTACACTTGGAGATGAACATATAACTTTTAGGTTTATATGGCATAGATTTTATAGCTCAATCTATAGAAGCTGAGTTTGTAACAATTGTGGAAGCAATTGTAGTATAGAACCTAACTTGGTTGGATGGATTGATCATCAATATGAAATTAATGCATAATATTGTGATTCTTCACTAGTTTGTGTGCTTTATATCTAGCTCTTAACCATATGATGAAATAAACACACAATCATCATGGAAGTATTTTCCAAAGAAAATTGTGTTTAATAAAATTATTTAGCTACTTGTTATTTATCAATTAAAATATTTTGTAGAGTTTTTGGAAACATTGTTTCACATCGCAGGCGTTACATACAGTGTAATAGCAACAGAATTATCTCTAATTATGAATTTTCTCTAGAATCTTTTGGCTATAACTTGAATTTAGTTGATTTTAATTGCGGAATGAGCTGTATAGGATTTAATCTAAGACACTCTGGGACATAATCAAATAAGAAATAGAGATTTTCTTTAACAAATTCTTTGTGTTTCATGTATGTAACTTTGTCAGAATGAACCACGTATTTCATGTCTTGATCTATTAAATAAAATTATCACAAATTTTCTTGAAAATATTTGCACTATAATATCAATCAAGCGTAACATTTATTACCTAGGTCATAAAAATTTTATTCTAATACATGTGCATGAATCATGAGTATATGTTAATAAAATTTACCATTCTGTCATTTTTATACATGACTTTTATCAGACATTTTCAATTTTAAAACTCGCAATGTAGTTATTCTCCTTATATTACATGAGATCAATGATGTATGCAAAAAGAAAAAATTCAAGAATTGAAAGCCATCATGACTTACTTGCCATTGTATGAAGATAATTCACATTCAAAAGTATAATGTGTTTTTGGAATCATTGGACAACTAGATAAGAAGGAAAAATATCACTCAAATTCCAAAGAAGAAAAGATGTTTAAAAGTTATCTTCCTCTCCATATAGACATTTCAAAAATTCATAAGATGATGAGCTCTCACCATTTATATAAATCCTTGTAAGTGTAAAAAATAACGAATATCTCAAATGTCTCAACTAACAGTGTAAAATCACCGTATAACAAACACATTTATGGCCAATATCACATCTACACCTAGTCTATCACAAATCAACTCGGAATCCTCTATCTCCTTCTTCCATAAGCTATTTTTGTTCTAATTCATTGAAAAAGAAGAAATTAAAGTCTACTCAAATCCTTGTTATGTTTCAAAAATTTAGGATCTTGCATTAGTTCGTTCTTAATCACAGCCACATACTCATGAGTATGTGGCTGTGATCACAGCCACATAAGCATAACGTTGAGGTTTGAAACTAAACCTTTATACCTACGACTCAAGAACTTGAAACTATCCCTTGAGTACTGGTACTACTAACGACACTATTAGTATTGACATAACATCAGTATTAACGGCACTAACTACACTCTTGGCTCTAAATTATGAATGTGCATCTGCTTGTCTAAGGAATTTGCTTATAATTTGATCGATCTCTATAACTTGTTGTTTATCTGTTTTAATCAATATGTTTTTATTGCTCTATGGATACCACTACAATCCATAAAGAATCATACTTAGTTTTGACAGATTATTTGTAAGACATGTTTACTGCTGTGGTGCTAAGGGGCAAGTCCTAGAATCAACTTTGTCATCATCCTCCTTAGGGCTTGATGGGTTCTTTAACTACATGATTTGTACTTCCTTATGGAAGTTGTCCACTTATTCTTTGCTATCTTTTACCACAAGATAATTTTGTCTCATTTAGGGGAAAAGAAACTCCTAAATAGGAGTTTCTTTTTCCACATGTGATTGTTAAAGGGTTCGCGCTGTGTGAGCTCTACACAGCCGGTACATCTCCAAGTATGAATAGGACTATCGTCCGAAAATTTGAGAATGATTTTGAATCACTCAATTTGGCTCCAGGGTGACAGGAGACACTCACGCATTACACAACTGCACCACAAATTATGGCTTATTTCAGTTACATCCGCATTTGCAAGAAGTTCTGAACTGAACTAGCCGTAACTGGAAATCGACTCTATCAACTCCAAATATCTACGTGACGGTGAAGGAGGTAATGTTCGAAGGGTTATAAATGACAACTTCTACGTTGCATGAGGTTCTTATCTCCCTCCATAAAACCGGGATACCCTATTTTCCCCAGCTCTATACACCATGCACATTATTGAAAAAGATGTTCATAGGGGCTTCGTCTTGATTCGAGAGAAGAGCTCCCATCATGGGGTCTAAATTGCCTAAATTGAGTTGATGTTGTTCTCAAAGCAATCAAAGGTTCAGTCCAGTATGCGAAACAAGATCATCACCAAACCACAATTATTACGCTCATTTAGAGTTGTCTTCACTGAAGCAAGACATTAGAGATGCCGTGATCCCCGCGAAGTTGAGGTGGAATCATCACCTTAGGATCTTGTTCCCGATGAGCACGGTTTGTATAATACAAGAAAAGAGTCAAAAAAAACGGGTACTGGCTTTGTTTCCGCAAGGAAGTTTTACCCCCTGACCTTCCATCTTCTTTGAAAATGTTCAAGTAGCGGTCAAAGCATACTCGCCGTGATATTCACGAAAAAAAATTTGGGCAGGTTTGCAAACGTGCACCGTTCCTCAATTCCATTGCGTTGTCTACAGGGTCTCTCACCAGTTACTTGAATATTGCAACCGTGCGGCACGAGCTCTAGCCCTACATATGATACAATTCGTCTTACTTCCACTTTCTTGGCCCTTCGTTGTTCATGAAGATGTCAAGTCTTTCCTCTCTGCCTGTATCGCGTGATTGTCTTTTCAGAGACCTATCTATTGCCTCTAAAACGGCGGTCGATTTCAGCAGGTCTCTCGAGCCATACTTCCACGGGAACTTTTCCCTTAAAAAACGCTCGACGTCGAACTCTTCATCATTTACAAAACTTTGGGAGTCCATTCCTGTTGTCCCTCCGGCCAAGTTCAGACCTTCAGTACCTCTGTCCTCAAAATCGCTCGAACCGTCGTTCCGTTCACTTGGCCGCTGATTTACTCTAAAAAATCCCTTGATTTTGTCGATAGCTGGAGCAAGCATATCTGACAGATCGACATCCCAAGGAACTTCATCCACCACCTCGGTCCGCTGCCAAAAATCAGAAGAGGTTGTCAAGAAGTACTATTCCAACAGTATGACAATACTCCTAGGGTCTACAAAGATCAGACGACTACAAATGCTAGGTATGCGCAGCTAGTATAAATCACTAAATAATGTAGGAACGAGTATAGGCTAAACACTATCCCAAAGCAGCGCAAAAAGTGCCAGTTAGAAGAAAACCGCACATACCTGTTGTAAGAAGAGGTTGCGAATCTCATCTGCTCTCACAGATCGTCCTTCTCGTTCTTCCATCGCAGCCCAAGACATCCAAGTGGGAACACTCTGAGAGTCGATTTTTAAGGCACATTTAAACAGCTCCCTCGCGAGCCCACTGTCTCCTTCTCTGTCTTCGAGAACTCCCCAAGCCTGATCAACATGGAAACGCCTTTGTCAAGTCCCTTGCTGACTTCGAAGGCAATGAATGACACATACCGCCAGGTCGTTGTAGATTAGAATTACACGGTTCTAAGAACCAAAGATCATACATCGAAATAGGCAATGAGAGGTCAATCAGACCTGGAAAGCACGAGCTGCATCCATACTCCTAGAATCTGCCTGAATAGCTCCTTGATACAACTCACGTGCGACACCAATATTTCCCTGCTTCCACTCCATCCACCCCCAAGCCTGCAATCACTTGCAATTAAAAATCACAATCCTAAAAGTGCAACCGCAAATTCCTACACAAAACTAACGGTGTTGTTCCAATTTACTCATGAGAGGGAGAAAAACAAATCAGACGCTAAAACTAAGCACACTATAGATCCAGCAACACACCACTCAAACATGGCAAACAAATCTTCTCGTCAGTGGAGACCACAACGAGAAAATGAAGCTCACGGTAACCAAGACGCCAGTTTGCAACTGATGGACGATGATGACCTCTTTAAAAGAACAGCCACTCGCACCCAGGTAATTGTCTCTGCAAGAAGAGAACAGACTGATAACTTACTATCCAAACCGGCTGGTGACTCGAGTCACACACCAGAGCGCGTCGGAAGTAATCTCTGGCCAAACCTGTTCGACCACATTCGTACTCAAACAGGGCAAAAGCTTGAAGCAATACTGCATCTTTAGGGTTGAGTTCGTGCCCTCTTTGAAACAGCTCCCTTGCGCGCTCCTTGTTTCCTTGCCTAGCCTCAAATAATGCCCAGGCCTGCCAGACATACCGATTCTTGGGGCTGGCTACGATACCCTTCTGTTCACGTAGCACACATGTTCCAATTTCTTGTCAGGCATATTCAAGCCCACTGAATCTTCAAACAATAAGGCTGGAAAATGGCGAGACAGGACCTGAAACAATCGTCGTGCAGTTTCATGAAGGCCATTTTGCGATTCCATCAGCGCCCAAGCCTGCCATTCCAACAAACTGTAAGAATGTTTGGTTTCTACGATGTTCAGATCTTACTAAGCTCTTACCACTTCTACAGCGGTTTGCCGCAGGAACATCTGAGTGGTTGGTAAATAACGGGCACAGAACCTTTCCGATACTCACCAACCAGCTGGCTGCACTCTTTGGGTTGTGCTGAGTGGCTCTGGCCAAAAGAGATCGAGCTTGCTCCAGCTTTCCTGCTCTGGACTCTATAAGAGCTAGAGTTTGAAGAAGATACTCATTTGCTCCACAAAACTTGAGCCCTTTGTTCAGCAAAGACCTTGCTCGTTTCACGTTGTCTGCACGAAGTTCTAACTTCGCCCATCCATGCCAGGCTGCTGCATGTTTCTTATCAGCCACAGTTGCTGCATCGAAAAGCTGTCTCGCTTTTGCTAGATTTCCAGCTCTTTCTTCTAAGATAGCCCATGCCTGAAAAATTGATAATCTGAACTAGATAAGAAAATTCGAATCTTTGTAAGACCGAAGCTGCACTGTTCTTCCAAAAACAAAACAATTCTCCTCATCAAGTTAAAATGAGATTTATTAAACCAAGCTAATAAGCTTGATTTAATATTCAATGACAGATATTTTAATTAGATATAATTATTTTTTTAAATAAAAGCGGAATTCGCATTGATGTATGAACTTATGACACTTGGAAGTCACTATCCTCCCAATAAATATGTTCCTTAGAATTCTCCCCATTCGTTTCCACTTCCCTCAAAACAGAGATTTCTCACATTTTCATTCAGCTCCCTGTTTTCTGCCTCTTGGGCCAAAGTGGCCTGAGGCAGATAACAAGAAACCTGCCTGCTGTGCTCCATAGCAATGCGGAGCACATCAGACATCAATAGTGCGGAGCAATGAGAAACAAAATGATTCACACTTCTCCTCATCAAATACTCTCATTTACACATTCATGGTAGACAGCAGCCTTCTTCATGTTATCAAGACGAAAACAATTGGTTCATGACGGGAGAACTGAATGCTCGAAAACAATCATGACCTCAATATCTAAATCAAATTTCCAAAGAATTTGCAGATTAAGCTGAAGTTGAATGTCCTTGAATCTTCAGCAAAAAGGTCAAGTTACACCAGTGCTTGAACATAACAAACCTGCCATATGTATGCGTTTTCGCCCCGTACTGCTTGACAACCTCTTTCATAAGCAGCCCTGGCCTCCTGTACTTTGTTCTGTTTGACGAGCAGCCTCCCAAGAGCTACATAAGGCCTACCGTCGTCTGGCCAATTCCTAATGCACTGTGCAAGAGAGGACAGGCCGACAGTATTCAGCTTCACATTCTTGTGACTGACTGAACCTCAAAGACTTGTCAAGTGCAGAATAAAATTTAAAGAGAACAATAGGTATTCTTGTCGGACCAGAGCTCAAAATGAAAAAAATTCACAGTGCAAACCAGTAATCTAAGTCTACTTGCTCCGAAGAAGGCATCCTCAACAACCTCCATTCGTCTTATCCATTGGAAGTATACAGTGCCACAAAGTGCAGCCATCTCACCTTTGACAGTATCGCCTCGGCCTCAATCATTTTCCCTTTCTGCCTCAAAGTTCTTGCTCTGTACAGCTCCAGGTCAAGATTTATCTTTAATCTATCCCCTCCTTCCGATACAGCAGGACTTCTAGAAATACCAGCCCAGCCGCCAGCTCCTTCAATTTCAAGGTTATCACTCCTTGGTGATGAATTTACCACACCCGACGTTCCCCTGAGTTCATCCCCAAAGTATTTTTCCACAGCTGTAGCCCTATCAATTCCACTCTGGGGTGATGCAAGGGATCTAAAAAGACTATCTTTCAAGTAAGTTTCTCCAACACCAGACGCACTGGTTAGTTCTTGCTCCGTCTCATCACGTTTGGAAACATCTGGAGATGGGAAAGTTGGAATATCAGAAACTTCTTCTCGCTTAACTGTCCTCACGTTCCGCTTTGGTTTTTTCAGTAGAAATGCCTTTGGAATACCAGATTTTCTAGTTTCACCAGCTGCATCTAAACCAAGGCCTCTCCATCCTCCCTCTCTTGATTTTGAAGTTTCACCATCTTCAGAAGAATCAAGAGAAACAGAAACACCGTTCCTTTGAATCAAAGACGTCCCGATTAAGTCATTGCCGCAATTTTCCGTTCCACTAAATCGGTCTGTACCACCTTCCACATTGCATTCGTTGCTCCCTGGCGTATCATTTTCTTGCCTAATCTCTTGAGAAATGGACAAAGAATTCTGGGCCAAAATGTCATTATCAGAATCCACTGGTCTATCTCGACTTTGACGATTACTACGAGCCAGCCACAGAACTACTTCCTCCTCGTTTTCTTCGCACTCTACTGGGACAATAACAGACCCATAGTCTACGAGTGGTTCGACTCTCCTGGTAGCACGACCACATTTACCACGTCTTCGAGGCCGCTGATGAAAACTTGAACTACCGACCGAAACTTGACCAAATCCAGAAGTCGAGCATTGGGTCACAGATGTGGTGTGAATCTGATCCAAAGATCTGTTACTTCTTTGCACTTTTCTGTCTCGCAAAAAAGACGTGGGAGCGGCGCGCACCATATCTACAGATGCCCCAGCTATCAGAACGGAGCCATTGCAGGCACTAAAAACAGTGGCTCCTAGTCCCATCTCCATAATAATTCCTCCTTAGATGTAAAACTTCCTGGTATATAGGTCCCAATTTCAGAATTCTCTGAACTCGAAACTCTACAGCTGAGGTTCAGTATCCATCGTCCCCTGAGTGGTGACAAAAAGCATAGCTTGGTCCACTACAACTGTCCGACATGTTCCAAGTCGAACTATCATATCCTGTTTCATAGACAGACGCTAAAGTGCATCCAATTGAGCTGTGCTAAGGTGAATCAAAAGCCTCAGCCTCATACTCGTGGGCAATTCTCCTGAATTGGCGCCTCGCATAGGCTGTCGCATGGAGCATTTATCTCAAGCAGACCATTCGTAAGGGCACGCCAACTTTTGCATTTGATTCGCAACTGATATTCGAAGCTGAACAGATCCCAGAAGCCTGCTCATTCATTCCGCAGTCAATAGTCCTTCTCGGCGTGCAACAGAGGAACAAAAACTCTTGGCGCGGCAGTTGTGCACGCGGACGAGTACAAACGCTGGGAAGATTCAACGGCGATAAGCCGTCCGACGCACTTGAGGTTACCATATGGATTGTCCTGCTGCTGCTGCAGCAGCAGAAGAATCGTCACCACAGTCGACGAGCATTGCTGCACGCATGACGAACCAAGCAAGATAGGGCAGCCAAAAGGTCCTAACTGGTATTGTTCACTTAAAGCCATATGGGGAAGAAGAATCGTCACCACAGTCGACGAGCATTGTTGCACGAATGACGAACCAAGCAAGATAGAGCAGCCAAAAGGTCCTAACTGGTATTGTTCACTTAAAGCCGTATCGGATGCATCCTGTAAAGGAGCTAGATACACCCGGTTTAGACAGAATCTATACCGATGTATAATCGTCGGCTGTAGTAGCTAGATACACCCGATCCAGACAGGAGTATCCATTACCCCAAGATCATTCAAGTGTTGAGTTCCAGACCGTATTCTTGCTCATATTGCAGTATTTTCTTCTATATTATCTTTGCCTCAACGAAATACACAAATTGCGTGATATCTTGAATTTTTCTACATGTGTTAAATTTATCATGTATAAATGATAACAAAGATTGAAATTACCAACCAAAAATACAACAGGGAGTTTCAGTATGGACGAATATGATTTGATGAAACATATACCATAACAAATAAAGCATAAAACCAACTATATCTAATACATTGTTACAATTTGTGGTTTTTCATAGATGATATCTTTTGTTCTTAGATAATTGACCACTATGATTGCATATGCATGTAATTCAGCAACTATAACATGTGTCGTGCGACTCAGTATCGCCATACATCATACATCGCTGCTACCCACAACTCACACATACATACACAAGTAACGAGAGTGTCCACACACAAAGGTATCACAACTCGCCCCCCTAGCTGGCGGTCAGGTCCCTCTGACTCCCAGGTAGCACTATCTACAACTACATGCTATGCACCTTTGTGGTTGCGCGAACCAATAGGCCGGGTGCTATGTCGCCCCATCGTTAGTCGCCTATCTGCAATTCATAACATGTGAAGATCAAGTCATCTACCCTCTGAAGTACATCGAGGACAAACCCACCGTCCAGTAGGAACAACATCGATAGGTGAAGTCAAGCACGACATGTGCCATCCCCTAGAACACCTATCACACACCAACATATGGGCCGCCTGATCAGTTGACCCACATAACATGCACCTCAAGCCGGCACGTACAATCGCCAAGCTTGGGTCCATAGTACCATCCACGTTTGGGAGGTGGCATGGCGCACAGTTGCGCACATGATCCTTCCAAACGACACCGTCACGACCCTCCAACATGAGAACTCCAGAAGGTAACACCTCTCGCACTCGCAAGATAGTGCGTCATGCCGTCACATCCAACGTAGTCGGTGCAGTCTGTTGTAGATAGACGTAGTCTCCCACGCGGAACCTACGAATCGATGGTCGATAATTTACTCCTCGAATAGTTGCATACCGCAATGTATCCCGGTGCTGAGCAATCGCAAGGTTCTCAAACGCTGCAGGCATAACTCTCTGAAAGAGCACTGCACGTTGAGAACACACTCTCACCCACATATCTGGATCATCAAGGTTCACCACCTCGCTAGACTCACGACGAATCGCTGCAGGCAAGTCTGGATCTCGGCCGTACAATAGAAAATATGGTGAAAACGAAGCCAAGGTTGCTTGACGACTGAATCGATATCCCATGGCCAACCATGGTAACTGAATATCCAAGTCTCCAAGATGCCCCTTCTGTAGGCCATACTTGCGCAACGCTCTCTTCACCGTCTGTACCATCCGCTCAGCCAAACCATTCGCCTCTGGATGATCTCGGGAAGTAATCCGGTGATCAATCAGCGTCTTGTCACACAAGACCTGAAACTTTGTCCCCTGATCGGTCAACACCTCAGCTGGTGCACCAAAGTGACTAAGCACCCTGTCAAGGAAAGCATATGCTACTCCCTCACTCGCCTTGTTAGGTAATGCCACCAACTCAATCCACTTGGAGAAATGCTCCACCATCACCAACACATACCGATGATGTCGTGTAGTCAAAGGTAGTGGTCCAGCAAAGTCCAAACTCCAACGGTAACCCAATCCCATGATAGGTAAGGGATGTAACTCTGGTGTCGGGGCATTGAACGATGCCCTCACTTGATCATAAACCATGCAATGTGATACCAACTGCTGTACCTGCGTATGCATACCACGTCACCAATACTGACATATGAGTAAGTTGTACGTACGCTTCACTCCAAAATGTCCCAACTCCTCATGAGCATGCCTCACAATGCGTGCTCTCTGAGTTGGATGCGGTACTACCCGTACCCTACCGTCCTCCCACACTCGGAGAACATGTGCTCCCTCCAATCAGTATCTCTTCGCCCTCTGGAGAACACGGTCTCGCTCCTTGGCACCCACTGTGCCTGGTACCATACTGGTCCGTAGGAACTCCAACACTAACGCATCATCGTGAACATCACGCTGGTCCACACCACCATCCTCAACCTCAGGATCCGAAGACTGACTATCTACTCTCTGACTAGAGTAAGATGTCAAGTGGTCCTCACTACTAGAGTCTCCACGTAACCAACACATCAAGGCCGATGCATGCCAACCGGGCACCATCTCCTCATCAACCTCACCATGCCACCTAGCTCCAGTGTCATCCTCTTGGCTAGTGCATGGGTTCCGACTCAAACCGTCGGCATCCAGGTTCGCAACTCCAGGCCTATGCACCACCTGAAAGTCGTACTCCTGTAAGATGAGAGCCCACCGTGCAAGCTTTCTTGTGAGCTTGTCAGACTCCATCAACCACTTGAGCGGTTGATGATCGGTAACAAGGGTAAACTGCGTACCAAACAAGTAACACCTGAAGTGTGCCACAGCCCATACCGCTGCCAAACACTCTCCCTCGTATGAACTATACCGCGACTCTGCTGCATTGTTCGAACGACTAGCGTACGCAATCACAAACTCCTTGCCCTCATCATCACACTGCGTCAACACCGCTCCAAGTCCCAACATACTCCAATCAGTGTGCAACTGGTATGGTCGACCTCTGATAGGTCTCCTCAAGATGGGAGCGGCCACCAACTTGACCTTGAGCTCAACAAAAGCTCTCTCCTGCTCATCTCTCCATTGCCACTCCTGATCCGACTTCAGCAACTGGTTCAAAGGCTTCGCTATAGCACTGAATCCCTTCACATATCTCCGGTAATAGTTCGCCAAACCCATGAACGCACGAACTCTACTCACATCCGCTGGACAAGGAATGCGCGTAATAGCCTCCACCTTTGCCTACTGAACTACCAAACCACCTGGGTAGATCACATGACCCAAGTACTCCACCTTCTCCTGGAAGAACCTACACTTTTCAGGATGTAACCGCAGACCATAAGCTCTCAACCGCTCGAGCACAATCTGCAAATGTATCTGGTGTTGCTCCACCGTGTCGCTAAACACCAAGATATCATCAATGTAACATCTGACGAAATCTAGCCCCGCTAGAATCCTGTCCATCATTCTCTGGAACTCGGCAGGTGCATTCTTCAACCCAAAGGGTAAGAATCGCCACTGATACAAACAATCCTTGCCGTGGGAGTTGACACCCCAAAACGGTGTCTTGGCCTTGTCCTCCTCCCGAATCGGCAACTGATGGTATCCCACCCGAAGATCCAAAGTACTAAAAATCCTCGCATGTCCCACCACATCGAAGATCTTCTCAGGTGTAGGCATGGCATACTTATCGGCCTTCGTCTGCCGATTGATATGACGGTAATCTCCACACATCCGCCTATCCGTGTAGTTGCCATGTACATCCTTCTTCGCTGGCATAACAGTGGCTGAAGCATACTCACCATGCGACAACTCCACTAACCCAGCCTCCAATAACTCCAACGTCCGACTCTGAATCAAGTCCCTTTCCATATCACTATATCGATAGGGTCGACTATCAATATGGTCGACGGAAGATTGGCGTATCACTAGCCAACTCTATCCGTATGCCGGGTCCAATCAAAGTACCCAACTCCTTCATACTGAAGGCAAAACAACTCCTATAGTCACGTAGGAATTGTATCAACCGTCGCCTCTCTCCTCCGGTGATCTGAGAACCAATCGATGGCTCCCACTCCTCCTCCATGGACCCACAAGATGAAGGCAATACTGTCACTGGTTGCTATGACACCTCCTCCAAAGGAGGGCTCTCCGTACCCTCCTTCGTAGCAACCTCCCCGTGACCAACATCTCCAACTGCATGGGCGTCTACTCTCGCAAGTCCTCTCGTCACGTCCCATGAACTCCAAGGATGACGAATATCTCACAAGTCGCCCCCAGCCATTGCCACTACCGTCCCGGTAGGCAATGAGGTAATAAGTGGTGTAACAACCACCAAATCTGCGCGCAAACGGCGTTGCTCGGCCAAACCCAAGCTCACAATCCACGTCAAGCAGTTCAGGTCCATAGCCTGACCCAAAACCTGACGACGCGATGCCTGTGAAACTGAAGAAGCCGCGGTCACACCAGTAAGAAACCCCATCGCACGCTCTCTCTCATCAGCGTTGGGCTCCACCAACTGATGTAGGGTACTGTCCCACAGTAGTCCATGTCCCCCATCACGATATGCATGTGATGCCGGATAACTGACCAACGTAGGCAAAGCTATCCGAGGTTGACCTACGTGGTTCACCAATGCCATGAGTGACCTATCCGCCACTCTCACCACCTGAGAGTATCGAGAGACATCCAAGATCTTGTCAACGGTGAGAGTAGGATCACGATGCACAGAATCATACGCATGACGCAATATCTCTCGTGGTTTAAGGTTGGTCCACCACAAACGTGCACGATGAGCACGTGAACCAACCCTCGCAGCATCCAACAACACTGCTGATCCAATCCGTGCCCTGACCACATGGACACTCGCCATCAACTAGGCCCGAATGTCACCCAACAATGGTACGTTCTCTAGAATGTATGCGGGAGAACGTGTGTGATGCTCCTGGAGATGACGTAACACTCGTAGCATCTCCCAAAACATCCGAGATCTCGGGTCATGTAACCCTGCTCCATGCCCAACGCGTGTGTGCCCCTAACATGGCCATCCCGCAATCACCAAATCGATATGTCCAACTCGATCGAGGTCTAGCGCCCCCAGCAATGAATTGTCTGAAGGCAACGCCTTCTGGTATCCTCGAACAGCTGATCGCGGCAACAACAAAGGAAAAC